TGCATCATACTTTGGAATTCAATAGCATTTGATCATTGGAGCCGTTATTTTATGTGTTCACTAGGTTTGTGCTCCGGATTGAACAAATCAGTTCATTCCAGACCCATAACTGTGGGAAACTGTGTGTTGGTCTACGAGGAAACTGTTGAGACGAACCGAACTGTACGTTCGAGATTGGTCGAACTTACCGATAACGGCGAACAAGCACGCGAACTTGCTCGATTACTGTGTGCTGGTTCAAAGCAAATAAGAACAACTGAATGATGCATATAACAAATTTATCAGTGCCCTTAAATGAAGCACTTAAATTCTGAACTGAGCTTCAAATTTTCGCAAACTGGCATGATGGGCTTTTTCAGCACCAAGCCATTCTCTGTTGTTCGGTCACCTTCGAACTATCTCATCCTGTGAGAATGCAAATTATATCGCATTGTTCTTGGAAACTTGATGAAAAAAGCATTTTATTCGGGCATACAACATTGATCACGACAACAACCGTAATTAAACGTAGAAATGCATGTTCACAGGGAAATAAATTACGATAACTGCGCAGTGGCCGTAGAGCATCACGAGTAGATCAGTAATACGCTTAAATTTCATTACGTATCAGCTAAAAACTGCTGGCGCTTTGTTGGCCATCATATTTTCCGCTAATAAACACCTCCTTTCTAGTGGAACCAACAACTTTAAACATGCATCGCGATTTTTCTTCGATTCCATATATAACTCTCACAATCAATAACAAACAGTTGGTTGCGTGAATTATGGCGAAACATATTGTAAAATTCGATTTTATCAGACTAGGAAGATACCGTCCGTATTCTCAAGTAATAACTAGAGAAACAAATCAACTTTCTTTACAGATACGCATATCAATGTCTCGTAACTCGCTTCTTTGCAATTGAAACTGATTGGTTTGAAGTGTTTCACGTAAGAAATGAATACAGCTTGGACAAATTTATTGTCGCAGCATTTTTTTTCTGGATGAACCCTACCAATTCGATCGCAGAATGCATCGCTCCGAATAAATATATCATGATATCGAATTCACACAAGCACACAAACTTGAAATTGAAGCGGAAACCTTACAATTAGAAAACTTTGGTTATTTTGGCTATCGTTACAGAATGTGTTGCACATGTGATCGTTAGATTATCACATATCTGACTTGAAAAAATAACATCCAAACTGAAACAAATCCTTGACCGACCAGGCCAATTGTTTAGTTATTTCATTTGATGCCGTAAGAGTGAATACATATTAAGTTTAGTTTGATAACTTAAAATTCCATTTTGTGATTATCTACATGAAGTGTTGTCAAGTGCAGCTTGGTGTCGATCACGATTTCACTCAGCTTAAACGCTACCAGACTGGAGAAATATTAGCAGCCGATACTGTTATGATGTTTAATCAGATTACAAGATGAGTGGCGAATAAATTCGAATTCGAAGCGAACTGTTGAAAAAGAAAAAATTAAATTCATATTCATTTCATCGCTTTGGATTCCACAAATTCTGATCTGCTCATCAACAATTTCGTCAGCATTTTGCGTGTTATTTCAATAGCATTCGTTTATATTAATATTTTAACATTTTGTGAAACGTCGGATTCCATGGAATGGGTTATCCACGTCAACAAAATTTCTCATTATTGAGTGATGCATTGTTATGTACGAAACTGTACGCTTTATGAAATATCGAGAAGGTGCAGTAATTATCAAGAAACAAATCAGTTGGCAAGGAACACAGACTATATTTTGAGAGTTTTCTAGCACTTCTAGAATCTTTCTTGTTGAAAGGGATGTTGAGAAATTTGTATTTGAAGCGAGAGAGATAAATCACAGTGAATTGAAGCAATGGAAAAGGAACGTAAATGCGATCTAATAATCATGATAAATGCGGCGAAATGACGATAAAATTACGGATGTATCAGCAGTGAATGACACAACTGGAAGAAAAACTAAAGAATGGAACATTTGGCAGGGTAGTTGGGAATAAAACAGCACAGTTCAGTGCCATAAACCCAGAAGAAACCACATCGCGATCCCAACCGGAATTGTACTCGTGCAATTGGAATTCCCAACAAACACTGACGTTGCTGAAATACTTGCAAACGTTTAGAAAGAAACGTTAATCAACATGCCACTTGTATGGACTATTCGGTGAATTTACTCGATGATTTTCAAAAATTACTCGAACATTCCAAGCCTTCAGGAAGGCGAAAACATTTCAGGAAGCGCGAAAAATCACATTAGATGAATTGTGTTGGCTTGTGCTTGCAGCTGGAATAATGTACGATAGGGATCGGGGAAGATATATTGATGTTCAGACACACAATAATGCTACAAACTGCAACAGTCTGACTGGGTTGATATTAAGGTGAGCCATATTGGAACTATTTGAATGAAGAGAAGAGTCACTTGTTAAGATGAATGTTTTGAGATTATTTTCAGATTCAATGCATCGAATAGCGAATGACTGATAGTCGCAATGAGCAAAGCAATTTGGGTTATGCTATTCTACAGTGAACGTGTAATGCGATAATCAGAGTTGAAGATCAGTGCATGCATACCTTGATGACGCGACATGTTCCTAAGCTCTTTTGCAAGTGTGCTGCACAAATTCGTCGACTGTTCTCGACAATTTCCTTCACGGGATGATTCTTCAGTGGTAGTACCTAAAGAGAGCGAATTTTTAGTAGCTGATTGAACTGAAAGTTAGAGAAGCTAATGTTCAGAGCCAACGAGTTGCTCAGCAAGAACACAACATCTAACTAGAAGCGTTTTTGCAATCGAACGTGAATGCATTTCTTAACCAATTCGCAAAGTCGATGGTCCGTTAGACCAAACAGATATCATCAACTCTTGAAGTGATTTCATTTGTCGCTTGTTCAACAAATGAACTTGAATATTTGCAAGCTTATAAAATCAAAACTTTTCACGTCAGAGATAAAAATCTATTGTGCCTATCGTGAATCAAGCAAGTAACAGTCAATACGTTCGATCTATGTGTTGATCTTTTTTCAATGTCGGCATTAAGTTTTAGCCAATCATATAAGACAGAATTAATTTATGACTTCTGAATGAGATCCTTCACTGTTTTCTTGTGTGACATTCAGTTCGTTGATCAATTATCCGTTTTCCAAATGAGCATTGAGAAAGAGTTTTGGATTGTTGTTTGTCATAAAGCAAAACGAATTGAAATAACTCACATGTGGACGGCATTCACTGAGAATGGTGTAGCCGTCAACTTTCTGCAACAACTTCTCGGGAATTTCACATTCGGTGTAGAAGTCGGTCCTTTCGACCGCACTGAAATATCGAGAAAATTAGATCACGTCTTATAGTTTGTAATTCAATTCAGCAATTGGTGACACATTGATGGTGGATCATAAGATAGCATGAAATTCAAAAATTACAAAATGACAGGACTCCATCATAGGAAAGTATGACTTTCAGTGAGAAAGGGGAAAGTTTCCGAGTAGTTCTTGTAAACCCTGCTCGTGTTTAGTGATAAAGAACTTCTCGTACGGAATCAACTGTGCACCGAAAAAATGAAGCAGGCCTTGTAATCAGCGGAGTATTCGTGAATAGCTATTCATTATATTGATTCAATTAATTAGCAAAATGATCATGGCTTGAATGATCTTTGACACTCGGATACAGTCAAATGAAGAAATCTGTATCAAACTGAAATCCCTGAAATCCAGCAAGACTTAATGAGACCAGTTGATAAACGGGTTAAAACATGAGAGAAACTCACAAATAGACACGCAGTTTGGTATACGACCGTAGACTACCACTACCTCCACACGCAGAACACGGCTTTTTACCGTGACCTTTACAATATGTACACTCGCTGATGCCACGTCCATGACAAAAATAGCAAAAATCGTGATGACCGATACCCGGCGGAGGAACACCGGCTTTGGCCATGAAATGAATTGGTGTTCCAACACCGTACGAAAGGCCACTGGATGTCGGACGAATAATGGCAGTCCCGGAACCGGGATAACCACGAGTGAGGTCAGACTGAAAAAAGGAGAAGCAATGCCGTCTATTCAAGACATGAACTGAAATGAAAATTGACAACGAGAGAATTCAATTGCAACAATACTCCAACTCCGCACGGGAGTACTTTTATTGCGTTCCGACGGAGTGAGAAATATGCAAATGAACTGTTGGATAGGAACGTACGGTACCATCGCATTCTTCAAAAAAAAAAGACTAATGAATAAGGTGAAAGAGGAAACTGTACTAACATGAGGGAATGTGCCAATCATAGGATGGGTATATACGGCTGGATGCGCGACACCAGCTTTCATACCTGTTCCTCTATAATTAGTTTGATTACAAACAAACAATTCATTCAATGTTTCATTTGCACCATAATATTCGTCATTTGCATCATTCGTAACCCACCTATTTAGGTCTGTAGACTTGCGAAGTGAGAGAGCTGAACCGAAATACCGTATTTTCGCATGTACGACACAAAAATGAAATGTTATGTTGGCCGAAGGTCATAATGTTCATTTTCATTTGTTTGACAGCAGCACGTTCAATGCAAAACACTTATTGTGTATTTTATTTTCGAATTTGAATCGCGTTCAAGGTTCCTTCAGGAGGGCAAAAGCTAAGAAAGTGGGAAGGAACGCCGAATTGAGTCGGTTGAATGATCAAAGCAATGTGCAAAATATGAGTCAGTTTGTGTCAAATCAAGTAATGTCGTCATGTTGTCTACCCATGGGAGTTAAAATGAAAAAAAAAAGCGGAATGAGACTGAAGTAAAGCACCTGCAATATGAACATTTGTCAGTACCGTAGCCACGGCAATAAAAACAATGCGTTAAGCCTTCAGCATTACACGAATTGCATGTGATTAGTTCACTGCTACCCGGCATTTCTATCACTTTCACCTGGAAATCAACATATCAGTCATAATATTCACTCTCGGCATCGACTGAACAATAGTCTGCATTAGTGATTATCACATGAATTCTTCGTCGAGGCAACGCATCATACAATCAAAAGGCGATTGAGAGATGCGAACGAAACGCAAAAGCTCTATTCTACGAGCATACGACTGGAATGTACAACTTAAAAGATGGTAAAATTTACTCTCCTTCAATACACGAACTAACTCAAAGGAGAATATGCAAATGTTGAAGGACATTGCCAAATTGGGGTGAAGCAATACAAATTACGCACGTTACGGAAACTACAGCTGCTGAGTGCTTTTGCGAGCTCAACGAATGCCGACGCAACGAGAAATGAACAAACACAATTGGTGACTGTCATCAAAAAAAGCCACTGACATATAATCATTGTTGAATGTGTTACTAATGAAATTCGAACAGAATCCTTCACGGACCTGATCAACAAACTCTTCATTCGGCTTCACCTCATAGTCCCAAGGATTCCAACTTAGTCCACTGCTGCTCGCCGAATTTTGATGCCCCAAGAATTGTCCCAAGGTAACGCCTTCGGTTGCTTTACTCGTACTTCGCGTTTCTGTGAAGCTTTCCAATGTATACTGAAATTACGAATTGACAAATGTATTAATTGAAAGCAATTACTCATCCTTACAGAAGTTTATTGCTATCGAATGTGACACATCATCACACCACTCAAAAGTAGAGCATAAAATCGATCGTCATTAATTTGTCTCGAAATTGTATTTGAATCCAACAGAGCATAGCGTGATAAAGCAGCATTAGCTATAAATAGAGCGGATAATTGCTCATCAGCATAGTTTCTTGATGAGTGTAATCTCTACCTAATTAACACGGCCGCATTGAGAAAATCGCTAACATTTTTTGCTTCATTCAACGGTGAAGTCTTCCTGATTCTTTAATTGTATCATTGATGTTTCTCTGAATTTTGACAGATTCTCCGATTGAATTTAATCGCAGAACGCGTATACGCAAATTGATGAATTCAAATCTGTCGAAGTGAACGAAGAAGAAAATTCATACATGCAAACAAATTGAATTTTGGATGTTTTCAATAGTCATTTTCTTCGCTACATTTCCTTTCCAATATTTATGTCGCTTTGATTCTCGAGAGAGTGCTTCACGGACTTCTTCTTCGCTGATTTGTTTCGTATCACCGAAGCAATGATTCGCCGACGAGTCATCTGATAAAAAAATTCATTTTAAAAGTCAGAATCATTCATTACGTGACAAAATAACCACATCTTGGGACAGTGTCGACCGATTTTTCCCTTTCAAGCAAGGTTT